CCAAAACCCCAAAACCCCTTGAGTACAAATAACTGTAAAGTAACAGTTTAAGAAATGATTATTAGTTAGACTTAAATATAATTAATCTAGAATGCAAGCAAATCACTTAGCGTTGTCACTGATGCTCTTGAGGAACTTGCTTAAATGAGTCTCTTGGTACTTTAAGAATTCAATCTCCTGGTCTCTCTTCTTGGCTTCAACCTCTCTTCTCTCTCTGTTTCTCTTTTCAATGGCTTCTATCTTTGACTTGAGCTCGATAACTTTATTCTCAAGCTTTGTCTTCTTTGCTTCGAGTTCTTCAATTTTTTTCTCGAGGTCAGCTTTACCATGCTCTGCTTGCAATTGTTTTCTCATTGCGAATGTAACTGAACTGATAAAATTATAGAGAGTAATGTATATTACCTTTGATATAGAGTTTGGTAGGCAGCAATTGTCATTTTAATTTCATCTCTAACTCTGAGGAGAAGGAGACCTCTCTCTGGTTCGTTGAGAGTGACTTATCTGATGATTTCATCAAAGCATTGTGAGAAAAGTTCTTCTCTTACTGGGCAGATACCACTTTCTCTTGCTTGTCTCTCCATGAGTTTCTGATCGAGCATCTCTCTTAATCTTGCAACGTCTACTCTAGTAGCCTCTTAATGACTCACATATTGGATGTAATGCTTGCCTATAAAATCAGATTGATATTGTAACTTTCTTGCAGGATTTAAAGAACTTACCATTTTCAACCCATTCTCTTGGAGGGAGGATAGCGTTCAAAATGTCCTCACTGCTTGGCTTGGTTTCCATTGGTGGCAATTGAGTCTTCTTCTTGGTAGCTAATTTTCAAATTAAAATCACATAACAACCGCAAAGATAAAATCAGATTGAAGTATATATTGGTAATTTATTGCCTCCACTTACAACCAAAAGTCTTTTTGAATGGATCCTTAGGGTCTTATCCAGCTGAGATCTAAAATTCAACTTATATGGGAAAACTAATTATACCTCAATTGGGTTTTCATATTGAACTAAACTTTCTCTAGGTCTGCCTTCAATCATCTTTAAAATATATTTTTAATTTATATATTCTTATAATTTAAAATTGCTAATTATTTTCTAATATTTCCCTCCTGGGGTTTTGGGGTTTTGGGGTTTTGGGGTTTTGGGG